AACCCCTGTAGCATCCCTCCCTCTCTCTCTCTCTCTCTCTCTCTCTCTCTCCCCCTTTATATCAGTATCCTCATCCCTGTGTCACCTTTTATACACGCCAACTACCACAAATTAACATTTACAACCTAAGTCTAGTGTGAGTCAGCAGTAATAAATGGCCTGATTACAATATGAAATGTCAGTCTTTAGAAAATGTGCAACCTCAAACAGACCAAGATGAATCACGGGCTGCAGGGCATCACACAGCTGTTTTCAAAGTACTTATTATCCCCCAACTGTATGGTGTTTCAGGGTATCTCTCCTGCATTACTAAATCTCAGTTTGAACGCTGCCTGTTGCAATTCTTTAAACTGACGTAAATTTTCATAAAACCGTTGTTCACGTGTCATGTTGTTTTTATTTCAGTCCTGAACACAAGAAACAAACATTCTCAACACTGCATGTTGCTGTAATTATTGTGAGAGTTTTTGTATGTCATCCGGAAATTATAATAACTGGAATTATTGAATTACTTTGCAATTATAATAATAAGAATTATTTTAGGCTTTGTCTTCACAGCTGAATTCTTCTTGCAAAATTCAGTTTCACATATTTAGCAAAGCTTATTTAATCCTAGCACTAAATAACAGCTATTGTTTTTTGCTTATTTGGTAATAATGCTCAGTTATTACACATTACCAAGGTTCATACAATAACAACTTCTCTGATATGAATGTGTTAGAAGTTTTAATAGGCTGTCATCAAATAAACAATGAAGCAGCTGATATATTTCAGAAAATTTCTGCCTATCACCATTAGATTAAAACCAATCTCTTTGTCTCAGAAAGATTACTTTTGCATGTATACTTCAAGGGGAAATATTCACTGAGCTTATAAATGCTGTGTTCATTAAAACCATTAAATGCTGAACGCTTTAAACCTGATCCAAATTGTTTTTGAATAGTCCATGGAACAAAGGTCTCAGGTTGGCCCAAAAAGCTTGTACATACAGTCCCTCCCCTTGAACATTAGTCCAACTGTCCCAGTTCCCCCCCCCCCCCCTTTCGAAAAACAGTGGAGGAGATGGCTATTCTGCTCTCAAAGCAGTGAGCCCTTGCTGATTCGGTAGGCCAACAATAGGACAACTGTTTACACAGTACTGCACATTGGCTTTCACATGACCACATGACGTCAAATATGCATCATAGTATGGTATGCAAGACATACACCCAAAAGGGGTCAATTCAGCATCACTGAATGGTAAAGATATTTTAACAAGACAAAAGAAATACTAAGGAATAAATTATGAAAAACAATCCTAGCTCCCAGTAAGGACAGTTTTTGAATTTAGTTTGGAGCGAGTTCTTCAGACTCTAAGAACAGGACCACAGGGAGGGTGAGGAAATTAAACAATTGGCCCTGTGTTGAGAAACAGGAGCGCTACGTCCTCTGTTGGAAGATAAAGATGAAAATCCATCCATTTCTACCAAAACGTTACTTTAACAGCAAGCTGATGCAATGCTATTCAGACGCGCTCAGTTCATTAAAACGCAACACTGCGATAGCTGCATTAAACAGAGGTCCGGCTGAATAAATTCATCTCCGGCTGCGCAGTTTCCCAGCCTGAACAAAGCATGTCATGTACATGCAAACAATATGTTAATATGCTAATGACTGTATAGATATATACATTTAAAAAAATCCTCATATTTTGAAAAGGAGGCTCTTACTTGCTACGCGCAATTATTGTTGTTGTTGTTGTTTGTTGAAAGCTAGTATTCCGCACGTCTAGTTTTGAAAGTGCTATTGAAAGTTGAGAAATGCAGGCAATAGTAGCTATAACAAAAAAAGACCATCGCACCGCCAGGTACACAAATTGAAACAAAGCCCTTTACAATAAAAGAATATAAGGATGCAAATGACATTCGCTTATTCACTTTTGACTGAAACCTCAGTTGTGACTAAACTGTGTTGGTGTGTAATTTCAATACGGGAAATGACACCAGAAACCTCTGTGAAATAGACTGAAAAAGCACAGATTGTCACCCTTTTCCCGCAGCGCTCCCGCTCACCTGAGTGAGATTCACCTGAGAGCAAAGCCGAAAACAACCATCTATTCAGATCGAGACAGATGCTGAGACTCAGCACAGCCGTCTTTGAAGTCCTTCTTTTGTTACATCATTCTGATACAGAAAACAATCAATCAGATAACGCAGCAAAATATACTTCCATCTTAAAACCACAGTACGTAAAGTCACAGCACCTGCTCAGTGACAAACCTTCTGCTTATAAGCGGAACTTATCTGTTAAACCAAAGGTTCCGTATCAGAAACACGAGGTCTGCTAAACATTCCCGCTGAATTTTGTTAAGGTTTATTTATGATACCATTTTAAAATAACTTCCCCCGTGTAATGCAGAGGTGTCACCACTGTGCGTATAGGTGAGAGACCAAGCAAACGAGCCGCCCACAGTATAACTCAGGAGCAAACTCTTATGAGGACGGTGCCAAACCCCTCTGCTAGAGCTAAATAAAGATGCAAATTTAATATCATGCCTGGTATTCTATGCGGTTTTACTGTTTCCCACAAATAGTAAAAATAGAGTAAAGAGTAAAATGATGCCCCAAATGATCTAAACTAACTGAATCAATGAATAATTATATTTTCAGTTTGGGTTTATATTCGTTACCTGAATATAACGTAAATCATTATTTCTCGTATTACTTAGACACAACATTCAATAACCGATTAACTTAGCGGTTCATTTTGAATCCTTCATTCTATATTGATTTTACTGTAGTTCCTTCCTAAAATTCACAAGTGCGTAATTGTGTGGATAATTTGTAGTTTAATATTACAATGGTACCTATAATGTAAACAGAAAAGATCATTCTATATTACAGATTCTTTAATTTTTTGATTACTTTGACAGAGTTTAACGCTCTTGTGAGCCCCTTAATCTCTTCAGAGCAGCAGCCTGTATTAGGAAATAGCAACAGGAATTTATGCTCCAATTATGATCGCTAAAGATACGAGGCATTCTGTGTATAAAAGCGCTTCAGTGAAGTATCTCGGCCTATTTCCTCCTTTGGCCCCAGTAATCCTGTCTCAAGCACCGATGGATAGCGAGCGTGAAGCTGGAATGACATTGCAGTCACGTATCTATCACAACATCAGTCTTTAGAAAAAGGCATGTGCCGAGAAACACGTCAAAATCTAAAGGTCTTCATCACATTTTCCAGCAATCATCTAAAAAAAAATCCCGAAATCCACTTTATTACTATTTGCCTTTGAAGAAGAGAAAAAATAGATGGTGAGTTAACTATCAATTAACTGTTAGCTGTCAGTCTTTCTGGTATAGATCAAGGCAGGATGGAATTCAGTTTGCAGGCTGTATCAAATGAATGAAGAAACGTGTGTGTGTGTATGTGTGTGTGTGTGTGTGTGTGTGTGTGTACATTCCACTTTTCCAAGAAACGGTAACAAGAAAATTGAGACATTGTGAAATGAATTTAAACGTTGATGCTACAACATGAATAGCATTGCAAAGTCGAAAGTTCATAAGAATGGCTGAATAGAGAAATATTACAAAAAGAGAGAGCGAAACACGATTAACTATGGGTAAAACTCTCCTGTACATTCAGGTCTAATATATACCTCTTAATGTACAGTGCTTTTTATGAATTAACAGATGACTATAACACACCCTCTGAATATGCATTTTGTTTAGGTAAAAATGCCACTGTACTTCTAAAAACCTACAAAGGTGAAATAAATCAACAAGTTATGGATATATAGGTACTTTTTTTCTCGGGAATGATTCACATTAACAAACCCAGCATACATCAGGGAGTGTGGTCTGAAAAACGAAAAGCGTACTATTGATGTTTAGTAGTAATGCAATGCAATGAGTACAGAACACGTATGTCCTTGTTTGAACTACTATAGCGCTGTTGCTTTTAACGTAGCTTCTGCATGGGGTGAGTGATATTTCAGCAGTTGGTCTAAATCTGTACGGCTTTCCCTGGTAGGTTTTTTTGTTGGAGCTGTTCTTCAGCACCACGCTTTTGAGCTGAGCTGGGTGCGCTGGCTTTGAACGCTATAATAACCCGTCTGCACCTTACATGTTACACTCCACGATTAACGCGTGATAAAACCAATCATGGGCATTTACGGTAAAAACATATTTTACAAATATGAACAGAGTTTAGCACTTAGCTTCAAAATAGAAATTAACATCAATAAATAACCGACAGATGTGAAATTATCTGGGTACTGGTTACGAGTGACAAGAAAACAGATTGCGAACATTTATGATCATATGAAAAGATTCACACTGGGTGCCTATGCTTCTTGTAAATTTTGCATTCACGAGCAGAGACTGCGAAAAGCGGACAAAGGGGCGCTTGGTGTGACTGCGTAATAAACCTTATGTATACGTCTCCATCCCCAGTAACGCTGTTCAAGTGAGTCAGATGTACCAAGCATTTATCCAGCCTTAAACTTCGGTTCAAGCTTTACAAATTATGCATCCAATGCAGAAAACAAATATTGAAAGCAAGCGTTTATCTTTCACGCTTGGATGTCTTTCGCTTATAGATGATAGGAGACCTAAAATATGTAGGCTGTCCGACACGTGGCAAAAAACTATATATACGACTCATTCTGTCAGCTTTTCCATTACATTTCCCATATCAATTTATAATATATATTTACTAAATGATTATTATATGTGACATTGCGGGTAGGAAAACAAGAACAGAAGGCTGCAGGCTACATACGTGTTGCTCTCGGAAGATGTAAAGGCACTTGTTCTATCAACATGTTGCTGAACATTGAATTACTACTTCGAGCACTGTTTATACAAAATTTTAGGTCTTCTTTGGCTATTGTTTGTCTCGTGTGTCTTTGACTACTGTATGTGTTTAACAAACGCCAAAAGAACTTTACTAATATAATACAAAAGTATTCAAGCAAAGCACAAGTTACTATGGGCTGGAAAACTTTAAGTGCAAACTTACCGATAGTTGTAATGACCGTAATTGCAAAATAAAACGAGCCAGCGAATTTCCACTGAACCCCTGCTCTGTGGGGTTCGGCCTCCATGATGATCGTCTCCAGTTTCCGATAATCGTCCTCGCTTATGTTATATTTCCCTTGGAGACGTTTCTCCTCGGCCTCCAGCTGCTCCTTCTCCCTCATTTCAAAATCCGACTCCAGGGCATCAAAGACCGCAGCCCCGACCAGCAGGTAGGTGAACGTGCATACAATCAGAGACAAGGTCCGCACGTTCTGCCGCTTCATGGCCACCAGGAACCGGTGAGTGAGGGGTTCATGTCCCCTCGGATCCTCCAGGAAGGCGCAGCACTTGGGAAAGCTCTGACAGCGATCTGAACCGGTTTGACAGGGAGTATGGTGCTGATGGTGGTGGGTGTGATGGACGCCGGAGCAACGCTTGTGGTCCCTGTTGCAGCCTCCCGGATCCTGTTCCTGGTTGGAAGAGAGACACAGGAGACTGCTCGATCTCCGGGACCAGGTGCCCTGCAGCCGAGAGACTCTGCGCAAGATCTGGCCAAACCAAGTCCTCCCGGTGCGTAGTGCCATCAACAAGCAGCGACGAGATTTCCTGGGTTGTCCGAGTGCAAGAGAAACGCCGAGAACTAATAAAGGGCTGAAACAAATAATTATGGCAACTTGGTCTTTTATATTATAATAATTATGTATTCACTCTCATCTTTAAACGAGTTTTTTCAGATTTTTCCAGCGCCATCCTGATGAGGTTGTGAGATGTATTAACGGCGTAAGAAGGCTCGACAGAAAGGGCACCTTTGTACATTTTTCCTAAGTTCCAGTTTTAAACAGCAACCTGTTTATTGCATTGAAGCGGGCTTTTCCTATTTTTTAAATGTCTTTTCGTTTTTTGGATAAGTTAAATGAACTTCATTTATAACAAACAGGCAGGACGATTTCCATATGCTGATGATCTGGAAAAGTATATACTTATTCTCAAGGTGATACGGTGAGTGAAGGAGCGTCGCGCTGAAAACCGGGGGCGAATTGTGCGATTTTCCAGATAGTCGCTGTGGGGCTTAACTGATCAAACACAGTTAAACTGGAATCAGGGAATCAGGCAACAGACACATTGATAAAATATGCCGTCGTTCGTTTTCAATTCTTACCTAAAGGTCGCCTGCCTCGAAAATATAGATTAAATAAAATATAGGACAGAGTGACGCGGATGTGAACATTTTAAACAAGCCCCATTGCAAGTCAATCATTTTGCCTTTCAGCGGACTGCCTTGACGTCCTTTTAGATATTCGCTGTACCCAAGGTCCATGTAACGGCGCGCAAAGACCAGCTGGACTCGAAGAAACCTGGAAAAATGCACAAAACAAGGTCGAAACGGAGACTTCAGAGACTCCACGGCATTTCTCATGCAGGCTCCCGTTGGTTGCATTCAACAGTGTCTAGTCAGGCTTTTAGTTTGGAAAAGAATACGCCCTAATACCAAAATTACACAGGGATCGCTTTGTTTCTCTGCTATTGATAGTGATGCCCTCAAATTCTGGAATAATGTTACTTTTTCCCGAGGCACTTAGAAAAAAAAAAAACGTAATAGTCCAGGTACAGCGTTTGTGTTCTTTAACTGGTCATTTTAAAGCACTGCAGTTTATCTTCCTTAAAGGGCTGTCAGTTGCGAGAGAGGTCATTCCGACTGGTGTTGAGTGTATATTTCTATTATAAGCCGCATCCTTGTTAGTTTCTCCTGCCGGACGCGGTCGCCGTGATCCGCCCGCCTCCCCTAGGTATCCCTGGCGCTCCCGGAGCCTCCATCGCCCCCTCCCCAGATCAGACACTCCCACTTATGTACATATTAAAATAAGCAGAGGTGTTACCGTGAGTCACGTGAACTTTGCTTTTTTTTTACCCACACATGAAACCAAAGGAAGATGCGGAGGTAAATCGAGGTAACGGAGTTGCTGAACGGTGCGACTGTTTTCACGCTTAAAATGCTTCTCCACGCATTTCCCACGCTGGCGATCGGCATGTCCCGGCTGCAGAAACTGATTCACCCACGTTTGACAAATACGATGCTTTAAGCTCATTTCAGTGTGAATTGCTTTACACGCACTTTATATCTTTTTAATTCAGGCTCTCGCGGTTATTAGTTTGCACGGAGTGCATATTTCGCTCCATAAACGTGGTGCAACACGGTCGCATAATTGCGGCGGGAATATATTTGCAAACCAAAAATTACTTAATTAGACTTACTGCAGAAACTGTGGATTCTCTGAAATCCGTTCCTGAGTGCTTCAATGACAAATGTAGGTACAACGCATCCTCACTGTAAGATTAAGCTACTCGGTGAAGATCTTGCATTTAAATTGTATGGAAAAAGTCTAACTTAACACGATTTATGTGATAAAAGTAACTAAACTGAAGAATTTTGGCTCTGCCTGGAGCATTATTCCGTGAAATACCTTCTCTTACGCTAAAAATTAAATGAGTGCTCCCTTGTAGATGCATAAATCTAATTCATAAATGTATTTCATTTTTAATTTGCCAATCTAACCAATTTAAAATATTACATTTAGTAAAGTTCATTACTTAGCCTTTTGCCTAAAATCAGCGTCATAGCAGTTATGCTGTACTGTCATTTTGAATATGTAAATGCCTGATTGGCTCTACCGCTATGTCATCTGCCCAGGTACTTCAACTCTTGTTGAAATAGGACAACAGGTTACTTTTTGTCTGTCCACCTTGGATTGATTAGCCAGGGTCTAGCAGAGATTGGTCAGCATAAATAAAATCAGCCCTGTCAGAGCCCAGAACATTTTGTTTTGTCATTCTTGAGTAAACAAAGTGGTTTAAAAAAGGCCTTCTTGAACGGTTAGCGGAAAGCCAATTTGGAGGATCACAGGCATCCAGGCTCACAGGTCTATCTGCTAACAGCAGCTATCAGTGCAGGGCCCATCACCTCCATCCTTTGGTGAATCAGCCTCATAGCAAATCGAAGATCTCTACTGTAAATTCACATGCATAAGACCTACCAAGCTCCCTAATTGAATGGCTTATAGATACTTTTGTCTGGAATCCACTCCTCTCTGATAATCACTGATGTCTGGATCTAAAGTTTTTATATTTAGCTGTTTTCTCTGTCTCATCCTCCCCCTCTCCCTCTCTCTCTCTCTCTCTCTCTCTCTCATTCCAGTCATCTCCATTACACCAACAGAGTGCACACATTTTCAGATGAGCGTAAAATGGAAAGTTTAATAACAGCAACCGTTACAACACATCCTTGGCCATGGTGTTCTGGGAAAAGTTGTATTTTTAACACCCGATGGATCTTACTGTATATTTGTGGATTCTAACTTGCATAAAACAGGAGACTCAGAAATTGCATTGCACGGTCATGTAAACACATAGTGGACCATGTGTTGTTTTACTGGTTAACGTATATCAGCTTCCCATTTGAGGCAAATACAGAGAGACAGTTTTTGTTAAAATGTTGATGGTGCCCAGTTCTTAAACATTGAAATGGCTTAAATCCAAGGACAGCCTGCCTCTTTCCAAAAGGCAGAAAGCGTCACCAACAAGGCACTTAACATTAATTTATTATAACCTAGATTTCAGTTATTCCCTGTGTAGTTTTGCTGTCCTGAATTTTGGGTCTGAGTCGTTACAGCTTCATCTCTCTATTGTGTTCTGGGGCCTGTATTCTGGACCTGAATAGGTCTGGACTGAACAGTTTTGACTCCAACTCCAACATGTGGAACACTTTTTCCTGTAGATCAGACCATTTATTTGTCTGGAAAGTTTACTCATAACTAACCATAGATCCATTAAGATTTTAACAAGATGCCTTCACATGTGGCTGTAAGCATTATGTCACAATTGTGCAATTAAGTTAAATCAACACCAGATGATGTAACTGTATGAGAGTTTCTATCCAATAAATCTACAAATGTGAGAATGCTGCAAATATTACATGACTAATAAATAGTCCTGTGCAAAATACGAGGTTAGGGAAGACTAGGTAAAGGAGGGACTTTTTCATCACAAGTATATCCAGTATCATTCACTTACCTATAAACAGCTGGTTATGAGCCTGAAAAACATTGAGGAAATAAAAATAAAAAAATAAATTTCCATTGAGATTTTGCCTTTTTCTAAAGTCGAGCAAGCACTGCAACCAAGCAACAAAATTTAAATTACTTTTCAATTCAGATATTATTGCTTTATCAGTATGACAAACCTGCACTCAAAAATCTGCACTTGAATTACTGGAAATATGTAATACTGGTAAACAAACTGCCATGATATGAGATTATAGCAAAAGTGTGAATCAGCAAAGCGTTAGCAGTGGAGAGAGGGTGACAATCAGAATGAAGAATTTGTCTTGCATGTTCCTGCACGATCCAATCATGATTGATTGTATTAATAATACCATAGATAGCCGAACGTTATTTGTTTAATGCTCATTGTCGTTGATAAATTCAGATGGTAAAAGGCGCATGATTGGAAAGCTTTATCAGTCTACCACAGGCAGTATAATTTTAGTGGTGTTTATATAGGAATGTTCTCATACATATGAGACTATTCACAAGAGCTCAGACCAGTAAAGGCTTGAGCACATTTTTCAAGGTTTTGATTTAGCATAAAGTTTGAAAGCACTGACACACCAGAAGGGGATAAAAAGGTGTACGAATGAAACCCTCAATCAATTTCGGTATGATAGAAATGGTGAAAAGATAGAAAGATAGAAACGTATGTGAATTCTAAGTATTTCAATATTCTAAGGTACAGCAACAATCCAGGAAACCGTAGTCCTTAATCATTATGCTATCCACTGTCGTATAAGAAGGATTAACAGTCAGTGAGCAGGATTTATCTGTAATATTGGTGATGATGCAAATACATATTAAGTTCTCCCCAAACGAGCTTGATGGGCCGAATGGCCCCCTCTCATGTGTAAATTTCTTATGATCTTATATATATATATATATATATATATATATATATATATATATATATATACACACACACACACACACACACACACACACACACACACACACACACACACATACTCAATTGTCATCATCTAGCACTTGTATAACAAGTGGTGGTTTACTCCTATCAGAGTAATTAAAACCTTTATTCAGTGCTGCCTTGTACCATTTGACACAAAAACACAAAGCAACATTTCAAACAGGCAACAAATTGTACCGATGACAATGAAATACCATTGTTTATCTCCGCGATCTCACTGGTAATTTAAAATGTAAAAGCCTCTGGGGTGACGCATGAGGCAGAGAATAAATACAGTGAGATACAGTGTGTCTTGTCATACAGATGTAGCCCAGAATGACTTTGATAATGATGGGTACTATCCATTGAAGTTCCACCACCATTAGCGGAATACAAACGATTGCTTTCTTACCAGGAGTCCCATTACAGATTTCATTAAAGTCCATCAACTGAACACATGTAGAAGATTGCTTTGCTTATTAATATACAATCAGCGGCCACTTTATTAGGCACATCTAGCTAGTACCACGTAGGACCCCCATATATCTCCAGAACAACATCAAGGGTTGACCATTTTTGTGTTTGGAGATGCACTTCTTCACACCGTTGTCATACTGAGCTGCTATCTTTTCCACTTCCTGTTAGCTTAAACGAGCTTGGCCATTGTCCTCTGACCTCTCTCATTGAAAAGGTTTTTCCAGTAACAGATTGGCTACTGACGGGATGTTTTTTTATTTTATTTTTTTGGTTCAGTACACCATTCTCTGTAAAGTGTAGTGTGTGAAATTCCCAGGTGGCTGGTTCAGAGATGCTGGAACCACCACATCTGGCGCCAACAATCACATCACCTTTAAGATTACTTAGGTCACGTGTCTTAGCTACTCAGATTCTCAGCCGCGTGGTACTGAGCCTGCCTACCCCCTCTCTGTGTGCCTTATGTATTCAGCTGCAGTCGCATGATTGTCTCTTTGGATGAGCTGACTGTTTGCATTAATAGGCAGGTGTACCTAATAATACGACCGCAGAGTGTAAACACTGCAGTTGTTCTCTGTTTTTATAATAGAGCTTCATGTTTCATATTCAAAAATGAAAGTTTGTTAGAGGGAAGTCGCATATTTTCCAGCAATTTCATCCTGTATAAAGTGTAAAAAAAAAACAAAGAAATTTGTGTAAAGCCAGTGCAGAATGTACTTGTTACAATGTCTCCCTGTTCAAAATGACAATAAATAAAGGCTTCTAAAATCACAATCCATTGCTTCAAACGTGCCCCAGCGTTGTACATTTTTATTAGAGTTAATGGCATTATCCCTTTAACTGTAAGGTCTCAGCACAGAGGTGCATTTTTCTCTAGGCCGGAAGCACAAACCTTGTCCGCACACAGATTACCCGTCGCCCCCCCCACCCCCAAACCAGGCCAGTTATTTCCATTATTCATCCCTTTGAAGTTTAATTCACCTCCTAACCAATGGGCTGTTCTGTTTGCTTATCAGAGACTTATATTCCTCCTTTCAGACCCACATGCCTAAAGTCCCCCCCCCCCCCATGATACGAAGACATTACCTCTCTAAAAAATTAAGGTATTGTTATGTGCCGTAAGTGTTTAGATATGTCTACAGGACACCTCAGTCTTCTGCCCCAAGCTCCACCCGCCAATCGCCGCCTCCCAGTTTCCGGCCACGCCCCTTCCGCCCTCTGACCTCTGACCCTGGCCCTGTGTTCCGGATAAAGCCTGCTGGTCACATCCAGCTCGA